TATTTTCGTTGTATATTAAGTTTCGTTAATATATAAATCTACATATTCGTGTGTATAACTACGAAAGATCTTTAATAATATGTTATGGAACAAAACTGATGAAACGATACAGTCATGAATTCGAAAAATGTTGTGTGATGTAACACTACGTTACATGTGATTATGATTCAATACAATAAGTTCCACTATTATCAGTTAAAAATCACGCATTACTATAACATTTAGTTTCCCAAGCTTCATGAGTTTAGATACTTTAAGATCATTTTATATTTTACGTAACGTCTTGATAAACCTTGTTATTTTTAGACGGAAATATGAACTAGTCGTCTTTATTGCTCGATAGTTTTAATGTATGTAAATATGTAAGTATGTAAGTACAATTGAGCAAGGAATAGTAATGTTAATGTAAATGTAAATAATAGATCTGCTGCGTTTTTCACATAAAAAATTGTAACATTGTAGAAACCTGAAAATATCTTTTTGCATATTTGGCAATTAAAGATAAAATATAAACATGCTGTTTATATCTTAAATTTATTGTATGTTCTTCTTTGCTATTATAATGCGACCTGACAAGAAATTCGTTTTAGCTTTCTTCTTTTTATCGTTCTCAATCTTCCCCTGTTTATTTCCCTCTCTCTCTCTCTCTCTCTCTCTCTCTCTCTCCCCTTTCCCCTCGCTCTCTTAAAAGAAACAGAAGTTGATTTAGTTTTTAAATATTGACCTTAGAACTTAAACAAGCAGCTAAAGTTTGTGAAATTTTGCCCGCGAGTTATAGTTTTCACTTTGAAACGAAAGATAATACATATTCAAGAACAAAATGAGTCAGAAAGCTATTTGAACGCTTAAAAGTTTTGGAGTAGAAAAGTTTCGAGTTTAAAAGTTTCGGTGATTCAATCATTTATCCATTTTATTCATTAACAGTCACGATCTTGTAGTTATTTCATCTATATACTGAAAATTAAGATGTAATGTTTTCACTGGAAAAATTATATTACTGTATATACGTATGCACAAATAAATAACTTGATAGAAATGTATGTAATATTAATGCTATTAATTATTTTTATTATAATGTATGCTGGGGGGAATTTCGAAATTTATCCAATCATTTTCTATCAAATAATCTTTATAATTTCAACAATTTTAAAATAGAAAATTTAGTTATGGGGTGTTCTGGTAAATAACTGGTGCGTGCGGTGTAATTACTAACTTTATTGGATAAGTCGCGTAGAATCACTTTTGGAATAGCGTGTCGTCGAAGCAAGAGAGGTATGAGAGGTATCAGAGGTATCAGAGGTATCAGAGGTATCAGAGGTATGAGAAGTATGAGAAGTATGAGAAGTATGAGAAGTATGAGAAGTATGAGAGGTATGAGAAGTATGAGAGGTATGAGAGGTATGAGAGCGAGCGTCTCACTACTGCTCTTTTTATATTATCTTGTTTGCCCCCGGCAAGGGCTCTGGACACCCCGTGATTGGTTGACCCGCGAATGGGTTTTCCCAATCAGCGTTGTCCATCTCCTTCTCACCGCCTTGTCCCTTACGCCCTGAGCGCGTCACGTTTTGGGACCGCGTGGTGATCGGAGTGGGTGCGTTTTTTATGATGTAACGGCCTGGGTTTTCCTCAGGGCTGTTGCGCTCGGACGTCCGGCGTTCGGGTCCGTTTTGCGTGCCCTTCGGAATTTCCGCTTATTTATGACGGTCTCGTTGACTATCGAGAATCAGGTAAAAAAACTCTACTGACTTATTGCCATCCGGACAGGAAACAGCTTACTCAAAGATAGCCTTTTCGAAGGAGAGTCATAAATATGCTAGTCGTTTGCACGAGAAATAAATCTTTTCTTGTGCGCGCCGACTGGCCGCTACAAAAATATACATTATTGACGCTTATATTAGAAATTATATTACAAATTGGTGCAGTATTAATATTTGTAGCTGTCACGTGGCTTGTGTTTTCATTTGAATTATTTTGCATTTGTTGCGCATCGTCTGCCGCCCACAGAAAAAAATCACAACCCGTACCTGTTGGTTTGGCGCATGTATAGAATAATCTTCCTAAAACACGTATTACAAATGCAATGACAAAATCACGTATAATCATCATTTCACAAATATCTGAAAAATAAAATTCTATATGATACCTTGATACCTATCGACGTGCTTTTATTGTATCTATATGTTCAGCATGTGTAGTATCTGTACCAATACCAAATTTGTCCATTAAAGTAATCAAGTCGGCTTCAGTTAATAATTGCGGCGGAGACGTTTCTTCTTGTACCATGTTGATACTGGTAGATCTAAAAATCTGTCCTTCTTGGTATACAAGAATTTCTTTGTCGCTCCATTTTTCATATGTATATATGCATCTTGTTCCGTCCTTCAACGAAATTTTCGTGCTGCATCCGACTAACTTTGTTCGGGACGAATGACCTTTTCTTTTATTCCTGAAAAACATTTATTAACGGGAAATCTTCGGCTCAGCAAGACAAATTGACAGTCTTTCAACGAACGACGTGCAATCAACAGAGGGTCACGTTCGTTGGACTTTCAATTTCGTAGAGCCATAGTCTTCTTTCTTGCCATTTCTAAACTTATGATTTACGAGCCATATTCTTTCCGGCAATAAAGCCATTTCTGCCTTTTTGAACAATGCACACCTTCATCGCCAGCATTTTTTATGACAGGGTCGCTAGCACGCACCGCTTCGGTCGCCCGCCCAGGGTTTCTTGCTACCTGCGGCACTGCGTGCTACGTCACTCTACGTCCCCTTCCATCGCGTCACTGACCAACGAATTTCGAGTTTTCTATCCACGAAACTGTATAAAAACTCGAAACCGATTCTTCTCTTGATCAGTTGTCACTTGTCAGATCGATCAGTCAGTGTCAGTTCAACTCAATTCATTTTAAACCAAATACAATTAGTCACCTAAGTGTTAAAACCATTCTACATCAACCTATCATCC